GGATGAGGCAGGTAGTGATGAACATTAACCACTGATATGTCTATTCAATTTCCCCCATTCAATCACCTTTACACTCTGAACAACAGTTTCATACGCAACCTGTTTCAGTTCGAATCACATCAGGTGGAAAACTGCAACATCTCTGACAGATTAACACACACTGCCCTGTTTGTCTTGTCTGGGTGCAAAACAACATTTTTCTGCTCTGACAAAAAGCAACTCTGTGATTGGCTGACGTAATACGAAACGTTGACACCTTGACCTTTTACAGCTACAGGTTAGAAAAGACTCTGGCTGAGCATAAATCAATGGCTTGACTTCCTCAATGGATTTTATGTCTTGTGTTGTAAGGTTGAGTTGTTCAACTTTTTCCCCCTGACATTCAAAATTAAACTTTTGTTGATCCACGTGGGGAAACTGCTGTTTATACAGCACCTAACAGAGGGGGGAAAAAATAAGAAAGATGGAAAACAAACATAAAAAACAGAACAGGAAACAAGGAATACCTATATAAAGTAATAGATACTGAGAAGAAATAACCTTGGGCACATCTTCATAGAACTGTGAGTATTGTCATATGAAAATACTGTAACCAAATTTACATTTGGTGATTTTTTAGCTTGAGCAAATGACTTATGGTTCCTGTGTAAGCTAGGAAAAAGTAGAAGAAAACAAATGCAAACTCTGTTATGTAAGTCAATCACTTTACTCATATGTCCATCCATCAATCAATAATGTGGTGGTGTACAGCTCTGTTCATCTATATATCCATTTATCTATCTGGCCCATCACCATCACCCATCTTCTATGAGATCAGCACAGCCCAACATTGATCTAGTAACTGGTTGTCTCACACACACACACACACACACACACACATACAAACCAAATCAATGCACTCCCAGTTTAAAGAAGCAGCTGGGAGCATCGACACAGAAGCTGAGTGATGTGCTGCTGTGGGCGGAGCCATGAGTGGGGTAATGAAAATGAAAATAGTCAAAATGAAGCGTGAACTTTTTTTGTGAAGGCATTTTTTTTTTAAAAAGTGGTTAAAAAACGTTTTTGTGGATGGCCCCGTTCACAGCAGCACAGGGCTCAACCTCACACAACCCCACGTCAAATAACCCGAACTATCGCTTTAAGCTCAGACACTTTCAACTTGGACACCGTGTTGCGTTAATGAAAACCCACAATGACATAAGGTGGTAATATTCAAATTTATGGTGATCTGATGAGTTGTTATGAAAATGTATGGTGATGTAGTTTTATACATGAAGTGCTCTGCACAGGTCATTGTGATAGCATCCTTGTAGGTCACTTACCAAACTCATTATACTTCATTATATTTTCCACCAAAATTAATTTTTACCTCTACTTGTTAGGTTGGTTCAAATCCTGGTTATAATGTATTAATCAGACTAAGTTAGCAAAATAAAAAATGGCTAATATATTAAAATTACTAATAATACATGTAGCACTTATAAAATCATAACAAAAAACAGGACAAGGGTGTGAGAGCAGTGTGAGAAGAGCTGGGAGGGGAGTCACTAAGACTGTGGGGAAATGAGATTCATTACAATTCTCCCAAGAAATGATGCCAGTAATGGACGAGGCAGCGTCAGAGCTGATTTGTATCTGTTGAGGAGAGTCGGGGGCCGAGGGCCGAGGCCCTTCAAATTGCTAATCAAAGCCGGCTGAGAAGACTGACAGCTATTCTCTCTGGGTGTCTGCACAGAGCTCATTCACTTCTATAAGTCGCTGTGTGTGGAGTTGTAATAAGCCCAAATGAAGCTGGATATTTGCATCTCCTTTGATTTGGTAAAGGTCACTGCTGACAGGGAGGTCCGGGGGGACTGTGCACGAAGACACACACACATATACACACACAAACACACACACACACGGCAACCTGATTGGAGACGATACTGTTACACTCTTTGCCTTGTGTCTAAATCATCCAAACTGAGACACTTAACTTCTTTCTTTTGTCCCCTTTGTACTTTCCAGTTTTGAAATAGCATACAGTCTCTTTCGATGGCCTACATTTATTCATGTATTATTCCTTATCTAGTCTTTATTTACCCTTGAGTCTCATGTGTTTTTTTTTTTTTCCTTTTGTGAATCCTCTGCTCCATTGTGGCCATTCTTCTCAGTATGACGACTGCTCGTCTTAAAAAGTCCTTCACATGTCACTTTCTTTACATATTCCTCAAAACACAACCGAGCAAACAACCAAATCTGTTCTTAATTTAGAAAAAGTCCAACAATCGCAAAACATTAAACTTAAAATGAACTTTATAATACTGCTGCTGAAGTTCTGTTATCTAAAACATTACGTTAAGTAAGATTTACGATGAATGAGTGAAATAAATAGTATTCGTGTGTGTGTGTGTGTGTGTGTGTGGGCTCATTTTACTATGTTCATGGGGTCCAGAAACTGAGAGCCCACTACACTTGTGGCATCTGACAGCTATGTGTTGACCAAAATGCTGGGCCCCAGAAGTTAAGAAGTTAAGACTTGGTTTTAGGGTTAAGGTTAGAATTAGGTTTATGTCTAGGTTAGGGTTGGGGGTTTAGCATTTGTTTCTGATGGTTAAGATTAGGGTCATGGGCTGGGGATTCATTATGTCAATGACGGGTCCCTCTGAATATAGTAAATCAAGGAAGTGTGTATGTATGTGTGTGTGTGTGTGTGTGTGTGTCAGGGGATGTTGTGGGCGGTAGTCCTGTGCTCTGATTCAGGCCCTCTGGGCTCTGCTGCCCTCTTTGTCTTTGCTTTTCTAATTGGCAACTGAGTGCAACCAAACAGTCAGAGGAACATCACTAATCATTCACCTAACCCACTCTAATAACTCTGCTGTCCATCTCTGTCTCTGTCCCTCATCCAGCACCTTTTTCTGCCTCTCCTGGTGCGTCCTTCCGGTCATGCAGGGGACACAGTGATGGACAGGTAGGAAAACCAGACTTGTAGCTCATCTAGTTTTTTTTAGTTTTAGTTTGATTTATTTTGCACAACTTAAAAATACACAGAAAATGACAAAGACAACAAATAGCATACAGTGCAGGAAGAGAAGCCTCTACACAGCCTTGAAGCCCATGTAGAGTTTGTAGAAATATATAGAATATAGACTAAATATTAAGCTTGAGTTTGTCTGAGGTGGAACAGACAAGAGACCTGATCTATGTGGGATTAACTCATGGGCAGTAAACCTTTAACTTCCTCTCAGCAGAACTGCACAGAAACTTTCAAAAGAAATGTCACCACAGTTTTTAACCTGCAGGGAACTGCTGCCATTCACACATTTAATCGGTTTAATTTCAATCCAGTAATATTATTTTATTAGCATTTTTATATCATGTGCTAACTGTTTCATATATTAATACTATAATATATTATATAATACTGGATTGGAGACAGCCCGTTATGATGTGTATGTATCTCTACATTATAAATTGATTTCAAACGTTTTTTTTTTTTAATGAAACATGTATTTTAACATCAAAACACTAAATTAACCATGTTTACCTTTATTTGTGTTTTATTATATTTTCATTTAGCCGCTTCAGTTTCAGGTTCCTGGTGTTGTCGTGGCTCACTGGGACACTAGAATATAAAAGGGTGTTTAGTTGTTTGGTGTTTCATGAATTTCCCCTAGGGGATAAATAAAGTATCTATCTATCTATCTAGTGTTTCATTCATTGTTAACATGAGGAAAACCATAATTGACATTTAGATTGGGTGTTAACAAAGCATCCACTCCTCCCCGCTCTCCTATTCATGTTTCTAAAAATACAGATGTAAGCTTACACCCTAGTCATTGTAAACAGGATGCAGTTTAAATGCATCAAGCTTTATTTCAATACCAGGGTAAATGCACTCAGCAAAAACCATCAATGTCACAGTTGTTTTATGGATGGGGTGCAGTCATTCTGCTCGTTCTGCCCGGTATTAACCAACAGCTGGTGAGCTGGGTAAGTGACAGACATAAAGGCAGTCACAGATCGATATGGAGCTGGGTAATCCTCAACGTAAAGGTCATTCTGGACCAAGTAACGATTCAAGTCTGATCATAGTTAAGTAAAACTCTACACATAATATATTTATGCTGATGATGAAGTCAAATATTGTGTAAGTGACGACTGAATTACTGCCGCACTTTGGGTCCAGGTTTGAACATGAACACTTTGTGACATCACAGCTTTAATATGCGACTTACAGCAGCGTGATGTGGGAAACTTGAAACCTCCGGCGCACATTCGCTGCCAGCTGACATTGAGATGCAAAGTCTGTGTGTAAATAAAAAAAGGTCAAGCTCCAGAGGAATCCCTTTCGCTTGTTCTTTTAGCGGATAATCCCAACTTCAACAGGCAGAAATCACACGGTCGGCGTGGCGTCAGTAAACTGTACACTGGACGCTCATGTTTGCCGAGCACACTGGTCTGTGATGTTTCATTACAAAGAAGATGGTATTTTATATTTTTCTACACCTTTAAACAAGCACATGTAGGCAAAGCTGACGAATTCTTAATGAGTATGAATGTCTTTTATTTTTTGTTGCTCTTTTTTATTTAGATTAGTGTAATTTTACATTATAAAATCTGAATACACAGAATTTCCCTCAGCTCAGAGACACACAGTGAACACAAGAACAGGGACTCGGCGATGCCCACCTTTCGTCTTTTGGTGCATAACGACCAAAACATGCAGCGATGTGTCACCTTAAGTTCCCTTATTAAAGCAGCAGCCGACGTATGACCTTATATGTTCTCCGCTGCATTAATGCATGAGGGAACAGACAGCGACAGAGGGAGAGATTTCAATTATTCTCCGGGCAAACAAAATGGAGTCGGAGCAAACATTTTCCAACGTCACATCTCATATCAACAAATCAAAGCTCACCACCCCAAGGAGAGCTGGGAAGTCAGTAACATTTACCGTGGTCAAAACATGCGGAGCGCTAAATGTCTTTGACTGGAGACACTGTGTCAGCCTGACAGACCCCGCGCCGTGTTGTTGTGTGCATGTGGCGCCGAACGGGTTCAGTCCTGCAGCGTCGGAAACATCAGACTCACTCATTAGCTTTGTGCTGTGAACTCCCGGCGTGGGCTGTCGGGGTGAAAACACACACATACTTAAAACCTACACACACACACACACACACACACACACAGACTGTGTGTGAGTGGATAAGAAAGGAAGGACTGACGGGTGACTCAAACAGGCTCATTTATTCCAGGGCAAGAGAGATAAGAAGATGAACCTCACACACACAAACAACGCAGCATCACCACAACACTGGAAGTCATATACTTATATTTCATCACCCAATAAGATTGTTTCTGTATGTATGTGAGCATACGAATGCAGGCACACACGCACACACACACACACTACTGTGCAAACATCACGCACACAGAACCTCACCCACCCACCCTGTTATTACCCTTTCCAGCTCTCTGGAGGATAAACTCTTTATATTACAATGTGGACCTGAACAAATGAGAGAAAACTCATGCACATGCACGCACACACACACACACACACACAGCACCCTACGAAAACATGGACTCCCGTGTGCGCTCGTGACCACATAAATGCAGATAAAGCATTGGCTGAATTAACATAAGTAATTGGTATTCATTAAAAGGCCTTTGCATGAGCAAAAGCTTCATCAAACAGGAGTCGGTCAGAATACAAAACACCGGGACTGTAGTTTTACTGAGCAGTGAACTCGGCCCTCCTTCATCTGGCTGCAGCTCTTTTTGATTATTTCACAAAGTACCGACAAAAATATGACAAAATATTCATGAGTACAATGTTCATTTTTTAAAGCATCAATGTGAGACCGATGGTTTAACATTTGAACACTGAGATGGTGGCAGATGGAAGGAAATAAACATCCAGCAGGGTTCATGGGAAATGCGGTTCTAATGAACGCCAGCGATGTAGAAGCTACATATCACCTCCAATGTGGTCTCATTTGTTTACAGTCATTTTCATCAGTTTGAGATGTTGTACAAACACACAGTATAAATGTGTTCACACGGGTCCTGGTGCCAGCTGCTGACTGCATTAGTCCACACACATACAGTCATGTGTGTAGCGCTCCTCTCATGATGTGGTTACATGACATTACGCTCTATAGGCAGAGATCAATGGGCTTATGTTTGTGATCAATCAGCTTCCTGTTTGTAGTGTGCAGTCTGTCTGTTTGTCCCGGAGGAGCTGACCTTATAATCGCCTGATCCACACCCCTGCACCCTGTCAGACGAGCGGAGAGACACATCTGTGAGGAGACACTAATACGACCGTGTGTTAATGTTAGTGCTTGTGTGTGTGTGTGTTTGTTTTTGCCAGATTAGCCAGATCAGTTTGAGGTTGCTAAATATTTTCTGTACATTAAATAGATCTAGCGTTGATAGCTGCTCATTTCCGTTTTATGGAATTAAGTTCAATGTATCTTCCTGAATTTTTTTCATTTTTATTTTAAATAAATGTAAAGATTTTTCATTTAAAAAAACAAAACAAAAGGTAGTACAGATGTAGTTAAAGGTCTTCTAGGATAACTGCATCTATAATGGCGCATAAAGCTGAATTTACTGGCCCTAACACATCAGCTAATGGCGCTCGATGCTCGCTAACTCTCCGAATAACCTCTGATCTTTATGCTGTGCACACACAATGAGACTCGGTCATGTTAGTCACCTGAAAACTGTTGAGATGCACAATTATCACTCATGCGGTGAAAAAGAAATGCCAGGAACAACAGCTGCCTGCGATGGTCACACACTTTGACTTCAGGCTGATCTGTAACTTGTAAAATAAATGTGAAAGGCTCAGAGTGCTTGTGTTCAGCAACAACTGCCGCCATTCACACATTTAACCAGTTTTTTATTAATCCAGTAATATTATTTTTATTAGCCTTTTTATATGATGCGCTAACTGTTTCATATATTAATACTATAATATATTAAATAATCCTGGATCGGAAACATCAAAGTTATTCAAATTCATCTTGAGGGGGACGTGAGTGTCTGCACCACAATTCAAACCCATCCATTTGAGATATTTCAGTCTGGACCAAACTGCTAAACCTTGAGCCACGCTGCATAAAGTGAGAGATTGAATTCAAACTAAAATCTTTAAACATATAAACATTAAAAAAAAAAAAATCATTACATACAATAGCTCCATCATTTTTCAAGAAGCTCTACAAACGAATTTTGCAGCACAACGTGGTCACTTTCTGAAATACTGCATGATGAATTGTCTTGACTCTTTGTAATGCAGCCCTGTAGCAAGAGTTTATCTCCCGACTGTAAAAGTTTAAAGGTCATTTTGGAATCCCACCTCCCGCTTTTTTATTTTATTTCCCAGGATCCCCTGGGCAGATCAGCATCAAAGCTTCGCCTGGATCAACTCATTAAGGGGCTTCCCTCTGATCACAGCCCTGCACGGCTCTTCAACTTCAAGTGGTGTACTCGCCCTCTTTCATGCATGCACACACACACACGCACACACACACACACACACACACACAGATCACAGGGAAAAACTAGCATTCAACAGCGCCAGTTCAGAACTGACAGATTTTATCAAAAGTAAGACACATCATCTCAAAATGCTTTTTCATAGACGTAAGAAGTCGTCCTCTCTCCGTCTCCCACACCTCAGTTTTCAAGCTGCACCTGCTCACCTCTCTGCTGAGTAGTTCTCGGCATCGTCTCTCCTGGATGAGCAAAACTTCTCCAGACTGATGAGACAAATGTTTTGGAGCAGTTCTGCTCCCGACAGATCGACCTGTGTCTGAGGAAGGGTGTGAGAGAGTCGTGTGGAAGAAGACCTCATGTATCTCAGTTGATATCTGATTTATTTTCTTACCTTGGAAACAGTAGCTGTAATAAAAAGATCCACTGACCACATTCCATCCCAGGGAGGAAGACCATGAGTTATGGTTAAAAGCCCTACAAAAAAACAAAAAAAACAATATTGAGTTCTTTCTTTTTTTCTACAGTATTTCATTTCCTTGTGCTTTTCTCTCTGCCAGGCCTCGTCTAATTCTGCTTCACTTACTGTACTTCACTGTTTAGCTGCGGCTCCCATGACGCCCACGGCAGTCGACACTCTTGATGGTAGTGAGGTCGGTGCTAATATGAGAGATGAGATAGTGATGAACACGATAAAAGCAAAAGAAAAGAAGAAGCTTTTCTACGAGCAACAAGATGCTCAAGTCGATTGTGATTCCTCTCTCACAGCTCACTGTAACGTACTGTTTTGGCTGCATTGCATCCAGGTGTGTTCTCTGCAGGTGTATGAATTGTTCTTTGTGTGTTTTCCGCAGTGGATTTCTTCTCTGTTTGAATACTGCAGGATGGCAGCTGTAGAAAGAAACCCTTTGATTTTCAGACACCGACACCAAAAACCTGACATTTCACCGCTGATGGTTCGGATCACCGAAACTTTCTCTGCTGTCAAACGTCTTTGTGTCTGTTGTGGAAAATCAAAACTTGCCTCTTGTTTTTGTTTGTTCATGAATTAAAGACGTTGACCAGAATGGATCCCCGGAACTGCAAAGTACGCCACTAGTAGCCGATGTGAACGTGTGTTTTTGGATGAAGACTTTTCCATTAACGCTTTATCAGTGGAAGCACACAAAGCCGAAATATGAATATTCATAGATGCTGTGAAGTCATCAAAATGAAATATTCAACACATTCGGGATACTCAAAGTGTCTCCTAATGAAGGGGGCAACAGTGCTTGAGTAAATCAGAGACCTGCAGGCACTTTGTGAATCTAGTTCAAGATGAGCATTAATTCAGCAGGATTATTTAGAATTCATGCGGCGACAACAGCCCCTGTGCGCTTTAAACCGTACACCCACACACACACACACAAACATCATCTTTATTTTCCTGTTTCCATTAAATGCTAGAAAAAAACAAACCTAGCTTATTTTACTTAAGACACCTTGACCTCTATTTTCCTGAAGGTGCCAAGCCAGCGAAAAAACAGAAATGCAAAAGCGACAGTTTCACCGGAAGCGAGTTACGTTCAGGGCGAGGAGGCAATTTGTGCACGTAAACTGTGAAAATTTTCCAGAGCCATTGTGCACACGCCACGAATCGAGAAGGTGAAAAGCGCAGAGTAAAATGAAAAGAGGTCAAAGCATCTGCACACTCATCCCCGTCGCAGGCACCTGAATTATTTTGGGTCCCTCAGACTTTCGTCAGAGCAAGAGAAATGCCAAACACACACGTGAAGGGAGGAGAAGTCATCAATTATCAATCGGCACACCTCACAAAAGACAACACACACACACACACACACACACACACACTTCTTAAGGTGCAACAATCAAGAATACCACAGAGCATTAAATAAAAATACGCTCACTTTCAAATGTCTCTATGACAAAGCAACAATCCAAACACCCGGAGCAGCAGAACACAGAGGGGTAAAACTGGGACGGCCTGGCAGCTCGCCTGGTGGAGCGCAGAGTCCTTACTGCAGCGGCAATGGGTTTGAGTCCGGCCCGGGCCCTTCGCTGCATGTCACTCCCTCTCTCGCCCCTGACCTTCCTGTCCGTCTCTACTGATGTTATAAAATAAAGCAGAAATGCCATAAAAACAATCTTCTCTAAAGCTGCGTTTCCACCGCAGGAACCAGGGTCTAAATTTAGATCCGGGGTAATTGATCGACCCCCAAAAAAGGACCAAGTCTGGACTTAGCCACACCATGTTTCCACACCATGAAACAGGCCCGGGAGAAGGTAAAGAATCTGAAACAGGACTTCAAAAACTCAAGGACCACAACAACCGGAGTGGCTGAGGTTGCCACCCGTCACGTATAACATGGGATTGATCTGTGTGAGAACCATCAAGTAGTCATTGAAATATTTTCAGCCTGGACAAAAGTTGGTGGCCCAAACAACGCTACAGCATCAAATGAAGTGATCGTTAAAAGAGTCGTAACTGGGATGAAGAGTGCAGGAGTGAAGGAGAAGGAGGAATCAACAATGAGTGAGTTTTTTTTTTTCTTCGGTCGGCTGCTGGTCACCAAAACACACAGGACGACTGTCATATCTCACATGTGACAACCGTGATCGACCTCAGTGACCGTGACTGGACGGCTGGTTTATTTCTTAAGTTAAGTTACCAGTCAAGATTCAAGAAAGTGACAGCTTCTACATCTGTTTGTAATTATTCACACATCCGCTTCATACTGTGCGATTCCTCTTTTCACACAATTATATTTATTCTATAGACGATGGAAATTCTCGAATACACAAAGGACCTGAATAACTTTATCGGAGCTTCCCTCAGCTGCAGTTATCATTAATAATTAATCATTAAAAAAAAAAAAAAGAAGAAGAAAAAACCCTATTTATGAGGCGTGAAATCACGCTCGCCTCGTCCTGGTCCTCATGTGGTTTGCCGTTGGCTTGGTGGTGACCCTCCCTGCACATCACGTTCCAATCAATACTCAAGTCTTACATAACAAACATCTGTGTGCCTCTGCCGCATGTGCACACACACATCACGTAAAGAGTCTGAATCCATCACTCCCACCCACATATCACTCCCCCCCCCCTCCACCCTCCCCTTCTGATCTTCATTCCTCCATCCCGAATACCTGTCGCCTCTCTGTGCTCCCTCCATCCTCATCCCCAAAACTCTCTCTCTCTCTCTCTCCCTCCTACTTCTTCCTCTAAACCCATCCCTCTCTCTCTTTCTCTCTTTCTCTCCCCCTCTCATCTTTGGTCCTCAGCCAATCATCTCCACCTCTCCCTCCCCCCACCTCCTTCCTCTCTCTCTCTTTCTTCCTTTCTTTTCTGTCGGCCTCCTCCCCACTGCCCTACATTCACTCTGTTCTTTTCACTCTCTCTGTTACTCACTCTCTCTCTCTCTCTCTCTCTCTTTGATATCCAGCATGCAATAGAGTGAAAATCAGAGGGAAGAGGAGGAAGCGTTGAGTTTGCTCCGGAATGACAAGACATAAAGGAGGGGATTTTGGGAGAGGCGATTAGCGGAAAAGCAAAACAAAAAGTCCCTTGTCAATCTGGCTTATAATTCCATTAAAAATTGTACATGTGGTCGTTTACTTTGAGAAAAGCTCCTATAATTGGCCTCAATGGTGGCATCTCTCTGTGTGTGTGTGTGTGTGTGTGCGTGTGTGTGTGTGTGTGTGTGTGTGTGTGTGTGTTTATCAACACTTTTTCCATGTGCATGTGTTTTTGTCTGAGTGGGTCTGATTGTGTGGCATGCATAAGTGAGCACAAGTGTGTGAGAGTGTGAGAGTGTGTGTGTGTGTGTGTGTGTGTGTGTGTGTGTGTATCCATGTGGCTGGCTGCCAGGCTCAGCTCCTGGTTTTGGCATCTCCAGCGCAGGTTGGGATTTAAACAAATGAAGAGGCGAAGCTGGAGTTGGACCCCTCTGACTCGAGAATCTTTCTGATGCAAGCAGACGCTCACAACAGACAAACACATGGCAACACACACACACACACACACACACACACACACACACACACACACACACACATATATATTCACTCATACAAGCACATACCCGACACAGAAATTTGCAAACAAGTGTGTTATCTATGCCCAAGGCGCGAGGGGAGGGCGGGGAAGAGATGCTAAGAGACGGGAGAAGAAAGGATGGCGAAGGGGGAGATGAGGGGCTCGGGGGTTGGTGGAGGAGGGGGGGGGGGTAATGTTCGTGCATTGCGTTTGTGCGTGTTTGAGCGGGGAATGCAGAAAAGCAGGAGCAGGCCGGGTGGGGGGGGGGTGGGGGGGATAAATAGATGATGAGCAGGAGTGACCGCAGCAGATGTTGACTGTCCTCCGTCAGCCAAGCAAACATGTTTGACACACAGCAACACACACACACACACACACACACACACACAGATGGAAACAGAGAAAGAGAAAAGACAAAAAAAATTATAAAAATTATAAAAAAAGAAAAAAAGAAAAGTGATTGAAGTCAGTTACAGTCCCTCCTCTTTTCACTTTTCATTTTTTCCCGTCTCTCGTCTCCTTCCAGGCTTTTTTCCTCTGGGGATGATGGGAGATGCAGCTGGATAACCCCCCCCCCACACACAGAGCACATACACAACACAACAGGCACACTTCTCATCTTCTCCTCCTCTCCATGTTCTTCTCTCTCTCTCTCTCTCCCCCTCTCTCTGTCTATCTGGCACTGACGAGAGGTAAACAAAGGAGATCTCATTTGGTTCCTGAACTGTTGCAGCGCACAGTGCAGCCACACACACACACACACACACACACACTCTCTCACTTCATTTCTCTCATACACACACACGAACACACACACACACACAAGAACACACACACACACACTCACACTCACACACACACGTACACGCACACAGCTCACAGTGGTATTGGCAGGCGAAGATCCTAGCAGTCCTGGACCGGTCTGCACTCACACCTGCCAGCACTGACAGGGCAGTGCTTACAGAAGAAGAGAAGAGGAAAAAGAAGAGGAAGAAGAAGAAGAAGAAGAAGAAGTCGAGGTGATACGAGAGGAGGAGGGAAAAAGAGGGTGAAAGAGGAGCGTGTCGTTCTGTGTTTTTGTTGAATCCCCTGGATCGAGCCCACGGCTGATGATGGAGAACACATGAGGAGGAGAGGAAGCTGCGGGGACACGCGGGGGAAAAGATGCTGCTGAGTAAAGTTTGTGGATATTTCTAGAGGGGATTTTTAGCCCTTGAACTTTTGGGGAAGAATCGGTGCGGAGGGTCGACTGTGTGCAGACTGCAGAGAGAGAAAAGGTGAGTTCAGTGATTTTTTTCAGCAGAAAAGTCTCAATGAGTTTCTGTTTTATTGTGCCTTGTGGTGCTCCTTCAAAACTAAAAAGAATATATATATATATATATATATATAAGCTCTTATTTTGAAGGTAAGAGCATTTTCATGAATCTCACTTCGAAGGCAAAAAAAATCAACTAACAGTCATTTCTCTGTAGCTGAAACTAAACATTTAATTTGCCTGAAGCTTCTGGTTTTAACAGTGATGCTCACAGTCTCCAATAGTGATTCTGACTGACCTGTTTAAAACGTCCTCTGCCCTCTTTCCATCATTGATTCTATAAGTACGTAAAGATCAATAGAAACATCATCTGTTTAACATTCAGGATAAAATCTATTTTTTTTTCCTGAGTCTTTATAGGAACCTGCTGCGAATCGCTTTGTCTGCGAGTTATTGTTGTCGGCGTCGCTGTCTCTGCAAAAAGGCAACTTCATGAACACTGAGAGCCCGATGACGGATTTCCCGTTTGTTCTGGTGTTGATAAGTTTGTGGTGCGTAACGGGATCTTCTGTGTTTAACGCGCTCGTCTCCTTCCTGTTCAAAGCCTGCAGGTGGGACATTGGACAGAAGGGCTTTCCCAGCAGCATGGCAGCCACCAACCCTTCCTCCTGCCGCCTTTTCCTCTTCTTCTGCTTCTCCTTCCTCATCAGCCAGCCCGCCCTCACCCAGGACCCATCTGTTACCACGATGACAGTAACCAAAGGCGACCAGTTCATCGTCCCCACCACGCTGGCCAACCAGACGACTCCCAACTACGTGGAGACGACCCAAAACACCCCCCTAGAGACGGGATTGTCCACTCCCACAAGTGGTGGAGACGCAGACGACGAGGATGTCCCTCCATCTGGCGGGACCCGTTGCCAGGGTTACTATGACGTGATGGGTCAGTGGGACCCGCCGTTCAACTGCAACGCCGGCGTCTTTCTGTACTGCTGCGGCACCTGCTTCTACCGCTTCTGCTGCCAGTTCCGCCAGCAGCGGCTGGACCAGAGCATCTGCTCCAACTACGACACGCCCATCTGGGCCAACACCGGCAAGCCCGTGGCCACCATCACAGAGGGGCAGGACGACCAGGAGCGGGACCGCACGCACCTCATCGTCTACATCATCTGTGGAGTGGTGGCCATCATGGTGCTGGTCGGCATCTTCACCAAACTGGGCCTGGAGAAGAGCCGCGGAGGAAGCGGAGGAGGAGGAGGAGGCGGAGGAGGAGGAGGAGGAGCAGCAGGGTCGGCGCACTCTGACCTCAACTCTAGGTGAGAAGCATGAGGACATGTGTGTGTGTGTGTGTGTGTGTGTGTGTGTGAGGAAGCAGTCTGTATGTTGACGACACTGTAGATTTAAGCAAAGCGGTGGATAAAAGTTTGTGTGAGTGTGTGTGTCACGTGTGTATTCATGTCTGTGTGTGTTTGTGAATGCACGTATGTGTGTGTTTGTGTGTGTGTGTGTGTGTGTGTGTGTGTGTGTGTTTTTGCATGCACGTGGTTTCTGATGCATTGCAGGGATGTTGGAAAGTTGAAAATTCTGACTTCACCCTGGAGGAAAAGAAAAAAAAAAGAAAAAAGGAAAAAGAGAGAAAGAATTATTTCAAGATGCAGTTTCGTTTTTCATCAGCATGTTAACACACAACCTGCCAGCTTGGAATTTACAACTTCCAACTACGAATGTGTATTTGTGCACCTACTAACACGTGTGTGCATGAATATGTGTATGTGTGTGTGTGTGTGTGTGTGTGTGTGTGTATGTGTGTGTGTGTATGTGTGTGTGTTTGCTTGCACGTGTACAATTAGTCTCTAATCCTGCTCCAGCAACACATGACCCAGTGTGACCAGGTGAATCCAACCTGTTCAGGTGTGTTTGTAGGAAAGAGGCTGATCACTTCATCACGTGTGTCCACAACTTCACACACACATAAATCATGCCCTTATTTTGTTTTTGCTCATTTTTTTTTTTTTTTAATTGTTTCTAATTTTTTTTTCTCTTTGTGCTTGTTTCTTTGTTTCTGCTTCTTCTTCTTCTTCTTATATTATTTTGTATTCCACCCTCCTTCTGTACCATTTGCTTTGCTTGTAAGCATGACTTATATTTGAAATAAACAAAACGATTTGAAACATTTTTTTTTTTTTTGCTGCAGTAGGTGTTAAGTGTCGAGTAGGTGTTCAAAGAACTTTTGAAGAAGGAGAGTCTTTGTGCTTCTGTGCAAGAATTCCCTCTTTCATGTTTGTCTCACGTGTGCGAGGTTTCACACCGAGCGCAAGTCAAATCACTCCTCACACTTTCGGACCGAACAACAGATGATTAACGAGCTGGGCCGTCGTCAAGTCTTTTTTGTCTCCATTAGCTGAGAAACTTTAATAATGATATTAGGCATTTACAGTTCAGTACTTCGTCTCTCTCTCTCCAGACACACATTCACACATGCACACACACACACACACACACACACACACACACACACATGTAAACAGTCCTGCTGCAGCGAGGTCAAATACGTGGTCCAGGGTTCAATCTGTTTCGCCTCAGGAAATCATTACAGCAAACAGCGCACAGCATGGGCTCAAATCTCCCCCGCTTTCATCCCCAAACTCTCCGACTCCTCGCTGGCTGCCTCTCCTCACTCCTCCTCTCTATCCGGAGCTCATTCTTCTCATCTCGCTCCTTATCTTCTCGTTTTTCATCTCGTCTCCTTCCACTAATCACAGTTTCATCACGTGCCGTTCGTTCATCTCTCGGTTTTCTTGTCGCAAACCCCACACGGTTGATGTTACTCAAAGTCTTCTTCTGCCTCAGCCTTCCTCCACATCTCCTCCTTCCACCTTTTCTTTCCCCTCTAGGGCCCAAAGAGCAGAGACAGAGGCCGATTTCAACCAGACATCTTTATTCAATCCTTTTTTCTTCTCCATCTCTGTCTCCGTTTCACCTCTCAGCTCTCACCTCACCTCGCTCACACCATCTCCTCCTTTCTGTCAGTGTCGCACCTCACTCGCCTCGTCCTCTCCTCCCTTTGCCTTCACTCATTTATTTATTTATTTATTCATTGTTTTTTTGTTTTTTTGTGGTTTCTCTTTGCATTTTAATGGAGAGAGTGGACACACGGGGCAGTAGCACTCTCCATCAACCGGCTGCTCTGCTTGTGCGTCTCCCCATTAACCTGAGCTGCAAAACTCATTCGGCGGATATAACACACAGCCAGGATTAATATTTCCTGCAGGGTAGCACCTCACTGAAATAGAAACACTCCCCGCTGCATAAACACCCCCCCCCCACCCCTCCTTCTCTGTGAGCCCATCTCGACAAGATTACCGCTCCTCCTTGAGATTAAAGAAATTTCACCAAGATTACAGCTTTACCGTTTCTGGACTGCTCTGCCTGCACGCTCGTTTAGTTATTAGCCTGCTGACATAAATCCCTGGTCCAAAAGTGTACGTGCAACTAAGACCTCATGTACTGCGCACACTTCACGAGGTGAAATACATAAATATGTGCATACACCCACCCACTTTAGAGCTGGATCTTAAAGTGGCACAGCACAAGAGGCAACTTTTGCACTCTGCTCTCAAACTCTTGCATGCACCTGTTCTTTTATTTCTTATTTTTTTTAATTATTTCTCATTCTTTCTTTCTCAACGTCTTTTTCTCCATCTCAACATCCTGCAAGCAGAGGGTGATTAACACTCTGAAAATCCCACCAGTTCTCCCAAATCAGCTTTGAAACCTAAAATCTAAGGTGATCCTCCTCTTAGATTACCCCCCTCCCACATGCACACACACACACACACACATCTTCTAATATTTCCCAAGCCACCCAGGTTCGGTGTGTTTGCAGGCTGCGGCTAATCCTCAGCCAACAAAAGGGGAACGGAGAAGCGCTGCTCAGGTCCGTACATGTCACGTCTAATTGAGAGGCCTCAGCTGAGAGGGCTGCTTTACACCGAGAAGGAGTAAACAAAACGACTGATACCTTCACGATTCTACACCACACACACACACAACCACACTATGTAAGACACCCATGCACATACTCTCAGTGATTTATAGTTCAATTAACAACCAGAATGATAGTGGTGGCATTTAGGCTCCGGTCAGGATAGCCAGGAGGCGAGATGCACCGCGGTGCAGCGTCCACCTCACACAAGTGTGAGAGGCCAAGGACCAACATGGTGGCAGCAGAGGTCCCATGGTTCACACAGAGAGAGTGTGTGTGTGTGTGTGTGTGTGTGTGTGTGTAAATGTGGGCAAGTGCAAGTGAGTGCATTCATGTGTGAGTGAGTGTGTGTCTGTGTGTGTGTGTGTGTGTCTGGCCATTTGTGTAGCCCAGCAGTCCAGCTGCTGCTGTCAACGTGGGAAAACTTGTATCTCCAATTATAAGAAAACTACAGAGAAAAATAGTCGGATGTCAGATAAAAAAATGTACATTAAACTTTTATATATAACGATCAGAATTATTCTTCTTCGAGATAACGAGAACGGCTTTTTTGACTTTGTGGAGATACGAGGTTTTCACCTGGCATCAACATGCTGATGGTTCCATATGTTCGACTGCGTTTGTATGCTGCCTATATATATATATACAGTATATGCCTGTGTGTGTGTGTGTGCTACAGTGGGCTGTTGAGCTATCATGTTATGTAATGAAGGGCACTGTCATTTAAAGGCTTTGACTGCTCTGCCCTGATTGAAGGCGGACAGATAAGCAATACTCGATACCGTGTGGATACATATGGAGCATCACTGCACGCAACAAAAGGGGCTCACGTCTCCGTTTCACTCCCTCTCTCTCTTTGTTTTTCACACACACGTCCTAGTGACACCAGGTTCTGGTGTCATGTTTAATCGTTGATGTGATTTTCAGGGACGGTTTGAACCTTTTTGAGCAACTGGTGCAATTTTATTGAGCCGTGAAATCGCACACTGCGCTGGATGTAGCACCACTTAAACAGAGTTAGGTGATATAAAATATCTTTAGGCTGTCTTCACCAGCTGGACAGACTTCATGAGGTTTGATTAATGTAAATACTTAAAAAAAAAAAAACTTTATAAATCAGTAAAAAAATATATAAATAAAAACAACTTTGGGTAGACAAGATGTGAGACTTTTTAAACTAACCTGATGACTTCCTAGAAAGTGAGAATAAGTTGTTAATACATGGAGTTTGTGGATGTTTAGCTGTGCGAACTGTCGAACACTAACTGGAGACGGATAATGAATTAAAGAAACAGATGAGATGACAAAGCAACTTGTGCTTGGAGAGCATAAGTTGCTTTGCCCCCCCCCCCCCCCGTGAGAAAATATGTAAGAAGCTGGAAAAGACAGAAGTTTTCATTGAGCTTCCTCAAAGTCTCCTCGTCACTTCCTCAGCTCTCCTGTCCTCTGATCACCTCCAGGGTTCATCTGCCACCAATGTGTGTGTGTGTGTGTGTGTGTGTGTGTGTGTGTGTGCACGCGTGGCTGCATGCATGTACGCTTACAAGTAAATGTGATGAAGTGTGCACGCGTTCTGTACGTGCCTGCGTCACCATTTGCCGCAGTTATTCTCAAAGTGAGAGGACATATACGTCGACAGCTTCCTGGCTGTATCAGATGTGACAATTTTGAGCCTCCAGCTGCCATACCTTCCTCTCTCCGCCTCAGTCCTGCCACGCAGGCGTCACTGGGCCCCACACACACTTAAATGTGGGTCAGCACCCACTGACTCAAGGGTTTGGCTGTGTGCGGCGGCGGCGGCAGCCTCCCCGTTCGTCAGGGTAACGCTGCAATGGTTGACATCTTAAAAGTTGAAAGATTGACAGCTTTTTTTATTTGTCACACACCTTGAAGGTGGCATTTCGTATTTAAAGGCTGTTGAAAATAGCTCGTTGCAAGATGAAAATTTCGTCCGTCAAACTCATATCAGTCAAAAGTGAAGTTCTTAAGACCAGCAGACTCAGAGTGAGTTAGCCCCTGTGGCTCCTTTTCATCCTTCTCCCGAACGTCTAATGGGCCATCTGTCTCCAGCTTCAAACAGGCAGGAGCAGCAGCTAGAATCAGCTGAGATAAAACTGCATTTCTTCCATTTTCAAGGCGGCTGAATAAAGAAAATAGTTGCAAGCCTGTGTGCCAGAGGGAGTTAGCTTGTTAGCACAGAAACAAAAAAGCCACTCAGATGCTCGCTATACCTGCACCTATTAGCGGAACGATAACCC